AAAAAAATGAAATTACTTTCAAAAATATTTGTCTTGAAAAAAAAAAACAAAAAAAGAACATAATTTTTCTTCCAAAAGAACAAAGATGCAGGAGCAGATAGGAGAGACAAATAACCAACACGATAATAGGCCAATCGATGCTAACACGATATCAGCGGCACTCAAAAACAACAGTATCACTAATGACAATAATAACAGTATTTCAGATAGATTACTGTTACAATTGTAAAGCTTTAAGGTCAAGGTAGACTGAAAAAAGCAAGAAAAAACAAAGAAAAAACAGGAAACTGAAAAGAAAATCAATTCTCCATTAGAGTGAGGAAAACCATTCGGTAGCGACATCAAAGCCCCTAAAACGACAATCTAAATTTCACCAAAACATACTTCACAGCCGCCTATGACCCCCGTAAACAACAGCTACGCCAATCATGAACCAAATACACTGCTCATTAAATGAGTTGGTTGCTATTACTGTAGTTGCTAGTGGCTTCGCTCTGTTGTCTGACAGATACCTATATATTGAAAACTAAAAAAAAGAAACAAATGTATCATAATGACAACATCAATACTAGTCATTATTACTATTATAATTATAATAGAAAACATCAACAGCAACAAAGACAGACGCGCTTAACAAATAATGGATACTGCTACTAATGCTTCTACTACTACAGCTATCTACCATCGAGCAGTAGCGGCGCCCGTGCTACAATTGCCATCGTCGTTAATGCCCTCCGCCACCACCTCTGTGACGTCGCATATTTGGGCCAACAAAAGCAAAAGCACCAACCGCAGTCGGCAAGACAACAACGACAGTGACACAGAGTTGAACACAGAGCGAAGCACATCAGTGACATCGTCATCGTCATCGTCAGCAGCACCAGCAGCATCAGCAGCAGCCAACAGCACAATCATCGCTACTCGTCCAGCCTCTAATTGTCGCTTTTTTCATCCAACAAAAAAAAAATCAAGCCTTCTCACTTTTTTGCCACTCCTTAACCCATTGAAAACTTTCATTCCTCACAGTTTGCTTCCACTTTTTTCTAAAATCTTTTTACAGCAGTAAATCTCGATTTGGTATAGGAGTTTTTTACGATAATCATTACAACAGTCGAAGCATCAGCCGAAAGAATAATTGCTGCAGAACTAAACAGTTCATCTATTTCATCGATCTACACTTGCGAACAAAAAATATTCCAATGTTCAATGAACTAGGTTTATTAAACGGTTTAATTTTATAAATTGCATTCAATGTCTTTCTTTTTTTTCTGCAGCTACTTACTGTTCCCGATAGGAATTAACAGAACATAAACTGCTCAAAATAAAATTTCGCTTTTTAAAATCCACTGAAAATGCGATTACCTACAGCTATAACAACATCTTCAATGAAGATAAATTACATTTAACAATTAAAGCTATGACCAGAACTAAAAGTGGATTAGTCAAGCTGAAGAATGTATCTGTTGTAATCACGCATACCTATGGAGTTGCTGGTTACTGCCATTCATTACTCACATTCATTGGTATCAAAAATGAAATAAGAAGGAAACAAAAACAAGAATAGTTTGCTTTAAAATTTTTCGAATGTTTTAAAGTCTGTCTTTTTTATCACATAAAGTAAGTCCAACAAAAAGCAGAAATATTTTCGGGAGAAACCGATCGTAAGATTCCCCCAATTCCCCCTCACCTCTTCTCTCACTATATCCTGGAGTTTAACCAACGCAGCACAAAAAAAAATTGGAACACGTAGACACACACGTGCAGATAATGAAACAAATATCGACTTCTAATTAAGCAGTCATAAGTTTCGTCTGTAAAATGAAAAACAAAAAATAAAAAATAATAACGAGAACTTAAAGTTTTTTTCAAAAAGTCGCAAATGGATTGTGCCACCGTTGATTTGCTTAAAATTTGAGAGGGAAAAATCCATTTTAACTTTTATTTTTGCAACTAGATCTTCAAACTTTTTTCCGCTTTTCTTATGTTTTCTTCTACATTCTCTTTTCGTTTTTTTTACGTTATCTCGAAATTTTATAAAGGCAGGAAAAAAGAAAAGAAATTAGTCAAGGAGGTGAAAAAAGCAAAAATTTTTCTTTTTTTTTTAAGTTACACGGAACACACCAAAGCGCATTACATTAATTTTCTCACTAACAACCAACCCTCTTTCATCTTTCACCTCCTTACACTTCTTCAAGTAAAAAAGTTCGTTTTTCATTCTTCTTTTCTCTTCCCTAACTTTTCTTAATATTACTAAAATAATGACTTATAAGTGAACTAAAGTTTCTAATATGCTGCTTTAAGTGGTAAGCTTCTTTAGGTTGCTTACCGTATACACAAAAAATATGAGAAAACAATATTGAAGGACCAGGTAGCAATTGTGATAACACACCAACACTCAATAACAGCAGCAACAACAAAAAAAACCGTCAATCTTATAACCACTATTAATAAGGAATAGCTTCTATTGTTTGCTCACAAAATGGTCAACGTATACACAAAAGAGGTGACGGGGGGAAAAAGCACACACACTAGTGGCTTGGTGGTGGTAATGGTAATGTTGGTGGTGGTAGTAGTAGTTTGATTTGTGATGGTGATAGTGGCAATGACTATAATAAAAATAAAAATAATAAAAATAATAAAAATAATAATAGTAATAATAATAATGATGGTTATTTGTATGTTTATAGAGTAGCGCATCTATTATGACACTAAGAAGCAATAAAAGTGAGAAAAAGAAGGTGTAACAGATTTTTTAGGCTAAACATATCTTTACATGTTGGTAAATGCTATATACTTGCGTCGATACAATATGCAGACTTATAAGCGCATATAAGATGGTCAGTTTTGCAGAAAAGCTTTTGTCAATGATTGCAGTAAATAATGTTTAATATTATGACTAATATAAATAAATAAAAATAAATATGAATTTATAAACACAAATACATATAAATATAAGTATAAATATATATAAATATAAATAAATAAATCAAAAAATATATATATGTATATATAAACACTATATGAACAGTTTAATAAGCTCAATGTGTATGTGTATGCGTGTGCCTGTGTTTGTATAGAAAGCATAGTGGAAAAAAAAAGAATAAATACTTTTGAAGTACTAATTTGAAAAATTCTCAAAAAAATATTTATGCACATTTCTGCAGTTTGATTAATTCGCCAAGGCTTTTGTTGAACTACTAAAATGCTTAGCTGATTACCGTAACAAATAGCAGACACACAAAAACGCTTATGTCAGCATAGAAATTCTTCCCCACCTATGCATATGCAGAATATGTAACCGTAACCTCGACATTACCCACAACAATTAGTTTAGCATAAATTATGCATAAATCTTTTGAAAATGTGAATAAATCAAGCTTTCTTCCTCTTTGCTGAACTATATTTAACAGAACATAAAAAGAATGAAAAGAAACACCAATAAGAAAAAAAAGTAGAAAGTAAAAAGCAGACTTCAATTAAGCGACCTCGTAAAAAATTTTAGTTCATCTATTTGAAAGCGTAAATGCACGTTTTTGCTTCATTCAATAGCACGACAATCGCGATAATAT